TCTGAATTTTTTTTTTTTTTTTTCATTAAAATAACAAACCGGTTATCACCTGCTCTGTGCAGTGGTATTGCACAGACCAGCCCCGATTCTTCTCTTCTTGGGTCCCTCGCCAGCGATCTCGGCTCCTCCTCTTTGTGTGTCCCACATAGCAAGCTATGGGGACACGCTCTGCAAGCACGCCCCCGACCTGTGTGTCTACAGAGCCGTGCGTCATAGACATACACAGCGGGACTTATCCCTGCCCCTCGCACTTCCTCTACACTACATTTTATTGACAGCAGCAAGAGCCATTGACTCCTGCTGCTGTTTGACTCCCTGTGTGAAGAGGAAGCGAGGGAAGAAGAGATGCTGCCGCACTTGGCGCTGATCTCTTCTCCCCTCTCTTCCCCTTCACACAGGGAAGGGGGAGCACAGACAAATAGAAATAGAAAATGTTTTTTACCTTAATGCAAGCAATGCATTAAGGTAAAAAAAAAATTTTTAGGTTTAGAATAACTTTAAAGTCCAAACTGTTTTGATGTGTTTTTATTAGCTCTGATTTGGCTTCCCAGACCTGGGCTTGGCTCCCAAGTAGTTGATTTCTGCAATGCTAAGCTGTGTGTGCTGTATATAGCGGTGCTTGGTGAGAACCTGGGTACTACATATCATATGACACAACACCAGCAGTCTCCTCTTTCAGAAGTGTGTGAAAGGAGCAGTGTTTACAAGTGCCTATTGCAGCCAAAGTTTTTTTTTTTTTTTTTTTTTTTCTTCCTTCCATATTTCTTAGGGAAAAATTACAATTGAATTATCTAGTTGTCATTGGAAACCTATAATTTTATCATTGAAATATAAGGACCTGATTTAGGCAGAATGTGTCAATACTGTTAAGTACATTTTATATGCCATTTACTTTTTGTGAAAAAAAAAAAAAGACCTTTGTCACCGGTAAAATGCTCTTTATGCTCATGTGTTATGTGCCTTAGGTTTGCATTATAAAATAGTTTAGTTCTTTGTTTTAAGCATGTTTTATGTGAGGAATAAAAAAAATTCCTGGATAGGGTTTACTTCTCTTTTGTGCTCTGCCTTTTGATTTGTTTCTTTTTAACTTTACCGAATCACTACTTTTTTTTTTTTTTTTTAAGCTTTTCATAGCTTTTATACTGTGACAGATGAGGAGATGCTAGGTAACTGGCTTTGGGGAGTATGTGTCTTTGTAATGTGCTTATATGATGGGCATCATGTGACTTCTGCTATGTCCCTGAAAATGTTAAGGGGGTTAAAGAATATGACAGTGTGATTGGTTACCACTTCTGCCTAGCAGCACTAGGATCATTGGTTTGAATCCCAACCATGGTACTACCTACCTGGAGTTTGCATGTTCTCCCTGTGCCTGCGTGAATTTCCTCCGGGTACTCCGACTTTCCTCTGGTAGGTTAAATGGCTCCTGTCTAAATTTACCCTAGTATGTGTATGTATGAATGTGCGTTGGGGACCTTAGATTGTAAGTTCCTTGAGCGCAGGGACTGATGTAAATGTACAAAAAATATGTAAAGTGCCGCGTAAATTAACACTATATAGGTACCTGTAATAAATTAATAAAATAAAATGTAAACACAGCATTTGAAATTTCTTGATATGTACCTGCTGTACCATATACTTGTATGAAAAGATACAGTGGGAGAAAATAATTATTTCATCCCTTGCAGATTTTGTAAGTTTGCCCACTAGCAAAGAAATAAAGGGTCTACAAATTTTATCATAGGTGTATTTTAAATGATAGAAACCGAATATCAACCAAAAATCCAGAAAAAAAACACATGATACAAACGTTGATAGAGTTGCAGGTCAGTGAGTAAAATAAGTATTCAATCCTCTACCAACCAACAAGAATTCCGGCTCCCACATACTGGCTCATGTGGCACACCAATCAGTCCTGTCAATTTAACTAGTTGCCGACCGCAGATAGCCGAGTGACGGTTGCACTGCGGCCGGCCAGTTCTGGGTGGACGTCATATGATGTCCTCCCAGAACGCGCTCTCCTGCGCGCCCCCAGGGGGCGCGCACCCGGCGATCTCCATGATCGCTGTGTCCTACGGACACAGCTGATCACATGATCTGGTAAAAGGCCAATCACAGCGGCCTTTTACCACGTGATCAGCGGTGTCCAATGACACGCTGATCACAGGGAAATGCAAGTGCCGGTTCTCGGCTGCACTTTCCTCACGCTGTCAGATCGTGAGGAAAGTACTGCCGAAAACCAGCAGTTGTCAGAGCGAGGATCGGCACTGATCATCAGGGCACTGATGATCAGTGCCCTGATGATCGGTGCCCAGCAGTGCCACCCACAAGTTCCGCCTACCTGTGCCCAGCAGTGCGCCCACTAGCTCCGCCCACCTGTGCCCAGCAGATCACCCACCTGTGCCCAGCAGATCACCCCCACCTGTGCCCAGCTGTTTGCAGCCCAGCAGTGCTGCCATCAGTTTTGCCAGTCCGTGCCGCCAGTCACAGTGATGCCAAATGCCGTCTATCAGTACCCATCTTCACCTATCAGTGCCGCTATTAGTGCCGCCTATCCGTGACACCTCATTAGTGCTGCCTATCAGTGCCCACAACAACACATCAGTAAAGGGAAAAAATTACTGTTTGAAAAATTTTATAATAGAAACAAAGAAACTTTTTTTTTTTTTTTTTCAAATTTTTTGCACTTTTTTTATTTATAGCGCAAAAAGTAAAGCGCCCAGTGGCAATTAAAATACCACCAAAAGAAAGCTCTATTTGTGAGAAAAAAATGATCAAAATTTCATATGGGTACAATTTTGCATGACGAAGCGCAATTGTCAATCAAAGTGCGGCAGCGCTTTGCTGAAAAAATTGGCCTGGTAAAATACCTGGTAGGCAAGTGGTTAAGAAGGTGCTCCTAACAACTTGTGTATAAAACCCTCATCACCATGGACAAATAGCTGTGGGGACAAGATTGTAGACCTGCACAAGGCTGGATTAGGCAAAAAGACAAGATAATAATGGAAGAAATACAAAAATAACAATCGCCCTCGGTCTGGAGCTCCTTGCAAGATTTCACCTCATGGGGTAAGGATGATCATGAGAAAAATGGAGGGAGCCCAGAACTACACAGGAAGAGCTTGTTAATGATCTCAAGACAGTTGAGACTACAGTAACCAAATAAATCAATGATAACATGATACGTTGCCATGGATTGAAATCCTGCAATGTCCACATAGTCCCCCTCCTCAAGAAGGCATAAGTACAGGCCCATCAAGTCTGCCATTGACATCTAAATGATTCTTGGGAGAAAGTGCTGTGGTCAGATGAGACAAAATAGAGCTCTTTGGCATTTTGTGGGGAAGAAAAATGTGACTACAGACACTAAGAACACCATTCCTACAGTCAAGCATGTAAGTGGAAACATTATGCCTTGGGGCTGTTTAATGTGCTAAAGGTAAAGGCTGACTTTGCCGCATTGATTGGCCAATGGACAGGGCCATTTATTGTAAAATCTTGGATAAGAAAACTTCTTTCCTCAGTCAGAACACTGAAGATGGCCAAGCGACAGCCAAATAAGATCTGTAAAGAGTGGACCAATATCCTTCCTGAGATGTGTGCAAAAACCTGGTAGCCAAATACAGAAACGTCTTACCTATGTGCTTACCAACAAGGGTTTCCCCACCAAGTACTAAGTCATGTTTTGATTGGTGGATCAATTACTTATTTTACTCACTGAACTGCAAAATTATAACATTTGTATCATGTATTTTTTTTGGGCTTTTTGGGTTGATATTCTGTTTCTATCAATTTTAAAAATACTATGACAAAATTGTACTCTTCATTTCTTTGCAAGTGGGCACACATACGAAATCGGCAGGGGATTTCCCCACTGTATTCTGTTCTCTTCCTTTGTGTGAAATAACTGTTGTTCCTGCCCTCCCTCTGTATTCCTACTAAACTGACAACACTAGGTATCTGAGAACACGGCATGGTCAGTGTTCTGGCTGTGCTAATTCACTACAACCCCCCTGTACAGCCATTCAATATTCGGTGTGTTCTTTTGCCTTCCCCATTTCCTTATGCCTGAGAACAGAGGAAATGTGACTAATGCTATACCATTCTATTCTAAACTACAAGGTATTGCTTGTCTTCTTATAGTAGTGCTTTTTTGGGGGTCTTACAAAATCTAAACTCACTATGTAGTTCACACCACATCCAAAATATTCTATCACATCTTCATCGTCATGTTAATGTATAGACCACATGCAGTTTGCAGTAAAAAAAATTTAAACAGCACATGAGTGATTATGTTCATACAGAATCAAGGATTCTTGCAGCTGTGAACATTATTCCATGCAAACAGCTGCAGCAGCTCAGCCTGTACAAAGCAGGCTGAAAAGGAGACGTTGCTGTTCATACTGTATGTATCTGCACATCCTAGACTTATGTCTGACCCTGGGCGCATCTGTATCCAGGGTCGCTCATCTGTCCCTAGCTACAGGCAGCCGCTGGATCTGCAGATACCTGTGAACAGTGATGGCTGCTGTTGTTGGTGTATGCCTGTGACCCCAGCAGCAAGAATTTGCGGACTCTTGCCACTACAATCCGCTGTATGCAAAGGTTATGTGTTTTTATAATAAAAAAAAAAGTATATTATATATTGCACCTTTATTACCAGCTCCTATAATGTCTCAAATACTGTATAAATCCAAAACTGGTTTAGAAGCACTCGCAGGTCTTGCAGAGGAGGAAGATCAAAAACAGCAGTGTTTTTGACAATGTTTTGATGAAGTTCAGTCCATCTTTCTCAAGACTTCTCAAATACTGTATCATGTGAAAAGCTGACTATATTGCAACATGGTAAATCAATTGTTTCCTAGATTTACTTTGTACTAACAGTCGTGATCTAATGGATTAAGGCAGAGTTTTGTAGCATTTTGAATATCACAGTGAAGTGACCTCATTCTTTCCTCACTGGAGGCTAACATGACCTTTTTTTTTTTTTCCCCCCTTAGAGCATCAGAGTAGCATGACCTTAATGAATGGAGATGGGGCTACTGAACACCAGACAGATGCTGAACCAAAGCAGAATGGCCATGATGTCGGGGAACAGGCAGAAGATGGAAGTGAACAGGAGGTTATTGTTATTCAGGATACAGGTTTTACTGTCAAGATTCAAGTCCCTGGGTTAGAGACCTTTTCCATTCAGGTAAACAGCTTGCTATGGTTGTGTACTAACACAATCAAATTGAAATTGTTACCCTTTTTGTATAGACAAACAAAATGTAGAAAAATATACAGTACATGAGAAATAGAATCATTTATTCTGAATTTTCAGGTGTCCCCTCAGGAGATGGTTCAGGAGATCCATCAGGTTTTAATGGATAGAGAAGATACTTGTCATAGAACTTGCTTCTCCCTTCAGTTAGATGGCAATGTGCTAGACAACTTTGCAGAGCTCAAGACTATAGAGGGCTTTGAAGAGGGCGTTGTTCTGAAAGTTGTTGAAGGTAGGTCACCTAATGCAGTTTAATATACTTGACTAGTTATTGTTTGCATGTTTGATGTCCAGGTTTTAAATCGGTTTAAAAATTGTATTTTCTTACAAAATAGTTTGTGAATTTGTTATTGTTCCTACACCAGTTTGGTCACATCAGAGTTTGTTTACACCAACAAATGATAGGAATAGAGAGTGCCTGTTTTAGAGTTTTGTGACTATGCATAACTCTTGATGGCCGCATTTATGCAGTGTGCTGCTCTTAAAGTGAACTCGTTCTTTGGCTATAAAGGACAAGGCAGCATGTTCTCCTGTCACCCACCCCAGCTGTACACACATGCCTGCCTTCCTTTTGCTGTCCTGCAACTCCACAGGAAGCATTGTGTGGGGCTCTTCCCCTTTGTGAAAGCACTTGGTGCCTGACAACACAGTCATGAAGCACTGGCTCTGTGGGGAAAGAATGGAAATGAGTTACTTTTCCCTTAGCTAGAAGAACTAAGTATATTCACTTTTGCATCAAAACTACTTCTATTCCCATACCAGTCAAATGGAATGCAAATTCAGCATGATGCAGTTTAGGATGTCAATTACAGATCGGAAGGAGGTCAACTGCAGGTCAGATTAACTGCTAAATAAACTCTGAATTATCTCATAAGCAGCTCAAGCTGTTGTCAGACTCCTCAGGGCCAGTTCACACCAGAACATGGTGTGGAAAAGGCGCATTGCATGTGTGTTTCGTTCTCCGCGCTCAAAATGCACTGCCTTTGCAATCTGCTGCGGGTGCCAATGTAATGTTAACAGCACCACTAACATAACTTGCAAAAACACAGTGCAAATGGTATATCAGTATGGTATATGTGATAATTAGTGTGGCACATTTTTAGAAGTAGTGCTTGTACTTCTTTCTCCACGTTCTGGTATGATTTCAGCATGGGCTGGAAAATCACATTGAACGGAAACACACAGGAATGCGGCAGACTCTCAGTGTGAACCAGCCCATAAAGCACACACAAGAAAGAAGTACACCAGCCCTAAATCTGTTGCTTTGCTATAGTCTGCAGCTATATATTAAAATAGTCTTTCATTGTAGCTGGTTTTGCCCAAAAAAATAATGGGGTATTTATACTCCTTCAAGCCGCTCCCATTACAAATGTGGATAAAAAGAAAAACTGATATGTAATGAATATAGTAGTATATGGAACACACTGGATTGGAACCTCCTCTTATTTTCATTTTTGATTTTTAGAACCATACACAGTTCGTGAAGCCAGAATTCATGTACGCCACATAAGAGACTTGCTGAAGAGTTTGGATCCGTCTGACGCATTCAATGGGGTTGATTGTAACTCTCTCTCATTTTTAAGTGTTTTCACAGATGGTGATCTTGGAGGTATGAATTTGTGGATGTTCAGGCTATTTTTTTTTTTTTAAGGGATAACCAAACCCAAGAACAATATATAATATTTTGCAACTTACAGTCCTTAAATGTGTTAGCTGCATTAGTTTTCTCTTTCTCAAGCTAAGAACATTTTCAGGAAATACCTGTTGATCTTGCAAGAGATGTAGTGTACTTCGCATTTCTGCGAGCTATACAGAACAGTAACTTCCTTCCTAGCTATTTTTTTTGTAAACTATCAATTTCCCTTTGTATTGGAGATGAAGAGGAAATTGTCATATTTGTAGCTGTGTTGTTTGCATTTTATTGTTCCTTTAAGTCTCTGTTAAGAACACTCTGGTACAAAAGTACACCTCACAGTTCAAGGCACTGGGATTATTTGTATTATCAGGTTTATTTTAACCTTTTTGCTGCCGGAACAGTTTGAATTTTTTGCACACATAGGCCTGAAGATTGCATAAACCCCCAAAACATATATATTTTTCTGAAAACGGACACCTTCGAGAATATAATAGTGGGAGTTGCAATTACATTTTTTATGTCGCAAAATATTACCTTAAAGGTCTATGAAAAGCAAAATTTCAGTCAAAAAATACACTAAAGTGAATTTTAGGGCACACACACAATACATTACCCAATTTTTTTTGTAGAATATAAAAAGATGAGGTTGTACCGAGTAAATAGATACCCAGCACCAAATTTGCGTGTGCCCACGAAATGGCAGCAAACTTCAGTATTGTATATTTTCAATAGGCAATTTTTAAAAGCCTCCTCTAGGTCATCAGTTTGGCGTTACTGAGGAGGTCTGGTGCTAGTCATATTGCTCTCTACCACCAACTATGTAGGCACTTACACTACATAGTTGATGGTAGATCTAAAGGATCAGATTGTAAAGTGTATGGTGAGCTTTACACAAAACTCAGAACACATTTATCCTGTTTTCAATACTACAGCTATCTAAGCTGTTATGTGATCGCTCAGCGAACACTGCCAAAAGAATGATCTCTGCAAGATAAATGTTAAGGTAGAAAAAAAAAATCAATGCCTGTGTATGTAGTGAGAACAGTGATCATTTACTGATTGCATTTCATTTAAAAAATGTGCACTTAGAAGTGGATGGTAGGTGGGAGGGTAGATGATGCAGGGTGTGTGCTAATGAGGTCAACTGGTCAAGTAAAGGAGAAGCAATGAAGACTTTTTTTATACAGCCATGTGAACACTAAGGTAAGGGTATGTAGAATAAATAACCTCTTTTATGTCTGTAATAGTACTTTAATGCTGTATTGGTAACATAGGGGAGCTGGAATTTAGAAAAGAAAAGGTGAACTTTAGCCTTTACGTTATGTTGTGATTATGTGTGCTAATCATGGGATGTTCAAGATCTGTACAACCATGCTTTAATTCTACAGGTTCTGTGCTTTCAGAAAATATATGGTTTGGCATTTTACTAACTAATCACAAATGGAGAAAAATGAAGGCAATCTCAGACTGTGTATGCTGTAAGTTGTGTATATGTGTTAATACCTTGTTCATACCTGCTGTAATTGCCAAACACAATTCTTCATATTCTGACTATAAAGCACTCAAATAATAAATATCACACACTGTAAAATTATAATACAAGAGCTGCGCTTGGTAAACATAACCTGTGTCTGAGATATATGAAGGCTACCATTGCTGACCCCCTTTTAGAAGTGGTCATTATTTGGCTTTTACTGGCTTCAGTGCTTTCTGAATCAAACAGGTGTGATGTTGGATCATTGACTCAGAAGGAACTGAAATCAAATTATCGGTGGGAACAGCCAGGTAACTAGTATTGCAAGAAGCAGGCTCAGTATTCTTTTTCTGTTCAACTTTCCTTTTAAAATAGAGAGAATCAAAATTAGAATATATGTGATTGTGATCTTATCTCTGTTTCAGAGAATGGAAAAAAGAAAAAGAAGGGGGCTGAGCTGGAGCAGATAGATTGTACACCACCTGAATACATACTACCAGGAAGCAAGGAGAGGCCGCTCTGTCCCCTTCAGCCACTGAACAAAGACTGGAAGGTAAAGTGAATGAAAAATAGAACAAGTGTGTTTGATTAATGTGTATTGTTTCTTTTCAAAGAGAAGCTAATGAGAAATTCTAGACTATGCCATGTTGTTTAATTAAATACATCAGTCGCATATCTGTAAAAATAAAAAAAAATACATCAGTGGCAGAACTGCCACCTGAACATATACCTTGGGAAATATGAGTCGCTATAAGAAGTAAGTTAAACACACAAGATGCTGATTTGTATTCAGCCTTGTACCCGCTTGGTTGGTTCTGCCCTTTTATATCTTGCATTTGCTTATATTTTAACTTCTAAAGCTTTAATATTTTTCACTTCAATTGAGTACTGGTTTATGATACTGCCTATTAAACCATAAAAAATGTTTTGGCTATGTAGCTGCTGTTGTGGTAGCAGGGTGAGGCAGGTGTTTGATCGTCCATAATTTATTTATTTTTTATTTATTTCAGGTACTTATATAGCACCGTCAATTTACGCAGCGCTTTACATACATATATTGTACATTCACATCAGCCCCTAACCCTCAAGGAGCGTACAATCTAAAGTCCCTAACTCACATTCATACATATACTAGGGCCAATTTAGACTGGAGCCAATTAACCTACCTGCATGTCTTTGGAGTGTGGGAGGAAACCGGAGTACCTGGAGGAAACCCACGCAGTCACAGGGAGAACATGCAAACTCCAGGCATGTGGTGCCGCGGTTGGGATTTGAACCAGCGACCCTAGTACTGCCAGGCGGAAGTGCTAACCATTTAGCCACTGTGCTGCCCATAATACATAATATATTGCACAAGCTACCCATTCATTATTCATCTGAACACAACCTCAGGGTTAACTTGAAATCTGGATTCTTTCTTATATGAAGGCTATCTGAGAGTTTTGGATAAATTGGTTGAGAAAGTAGGATACCCTTTTTAAGCCTTCTATGATGGTATAGTTGCTTGTGTGCCCCTGACAGCTAGTGTGATGTTGCGCCATGCAGATTGCATTTGCTCTTGTGTACGTGCTACATACTGTAGTGACTGAAGATTTTACTTTATTACAGCCTTTGCAGTGTTTGAAAGTATTCACGATGAGTGGCTGGAACCCTCCTCCTGGTAACCGAAAGATGCACGGAGACCTTATGTATTTATATGTGATAACTATGGAGGACCGGCATGTCAGCATTACAGCATCCACTCGAGGATTCTACCTCAACCAGTGAGTTGTGTGTTTTGAAGGCTTTTCTGGTTGGCTACATTACACAAGATCAAGGACAACAGTAGGGCAGCAAACACTGGTTTGATGTGTAAAAATTGAAAAAAGGTCGGTGATAATGATACCATGTACGTGATTGCCATGGACAAATGACCCATGCTTTCTGTCCATCAGACATTTGAAAGCTATTACTGCACAATATCTTTATTGTGACTAGTCCTCTATAGCAGGGGTCTCCAAACATTTGAAAGAAAGGGCCAGTTTAATGTCCTTCAAGCTTTAGGGGGGGCCAGACTGCGGCCACTGGGATTACAAAATGCCCTGGCATCCATGGGAGTAAATGGTTGCATAGGCTTGGTGGTCAGTGGGATTTAAAAAAATTACATCATTGGTGTCAGTGAGAATAGTAGTTCCCATCATCGGTGTCAGTGGAAGGAATAGTAGTCCATTGTTTGTGTCCGTAGGAGGAATAGCACCTCGTAATAGTGTAAGAATAGTGCCCCAAGGGCTGGATACAGGCAAGCAAAGGGCCAGATTCAGCCTGCGTTTAAATATAGATTTACTCTTGCTAAATTTCTGTTTCAACATTTTTATTAGAATTTCAAGAAATTGTAACAAGCCATGGTTTGCCCACGCAGGGTTTACATTGATCAGGCATGTAAGAAAACTACGCATGTAAGCATAATGAGTAACATCACCTCAAACTTCTACCAGGACCAAAGGGGACCAGCCTAAAGAATTAAGTAAATATCACAAGCAACACTACACTGTCCCCTAGAGGACAGCAGTTCTCAAGACTAAACTTCATATCATAAAGCAAAATGAGAGTGAGGAAACAAAGAAAAGGGGAAGGAGGAGGGAGAGTGGGCCCCAGGGAGAGGGCAAGTATCACGGATGCGGGACCTGCACAGGCAACGTTTTATAGTTGACCATAGCTAGTTGACTTGGGCAGGGGCAGGAAGGAATAACTTATGCAAGGTTCCCAGATTTTCAGAAATTTTGCATGCAAGTCTTTCAATATACTGGACATCTGTTTATTAACCATCAGAGCGACCATCCTGCTTTTCACCCCCTGGAAAGCAACAGTCTTCCAGGCAGGGGTGATGGTTTGCTTGGCAGAAATAGAGGTACAAGGCCAATTTCTGCTGGAGTGTGAAAAGGCCTGCTATAGGAAAATGTAAAAGAGCTAGCCGGGCATTTTTACGGACCATCACATGAAACAGAGTCTGCAGCCAAAGACCTTAGACCAGAAGCATATCAGGCCCATCATCCCCACGCTGACCACAATTCCGAAAACATCTCTCACTGCTGCCAGGAAAAGGGTGGGCAAGCCTAGCCAGGACTCAGTACCACCGCAGGAGCACTTTATAGGCTGCCTCTAGGGTGGTAGTGTTGAATGAGCATTTTGCTATCGTCCAGGCCTTGCTCCAGTCTTCCCCCTCAATACTAGGTCCAAGATCTCGCTGCCATTGTCACATAGGAAAGGGCCAGCAAAGATGACCTACCATTAAGGCTCAGTTCACACTTGCTTTGTCAGCAGGCTACAGACAGGCGTTTGGGAAGCATTTTTAACGCTTCTCCAATGCCTATGAAAATTCTGCACATGGCAGCACACAGTGCTGTTCACTCTGAAGCGTTAGCGTCGCTGCAAAACTGACACCTCTTGTCCAGTCAGGAGGTGTCAAAGCCTCCCATTCAAATCTATGGTGCCCCTCCTCAAATACTTGGCAGGCGTTTGCGATGCGGTTGGAGAGCGTTAATACCATTTAACTTCATTATATTCATTGGTGGTGCGGTTTTGACGCGTGGCAAACGCCTATCAACCGCCTCAAAACCGCGCATAGGGCAGTTTGGGGAGCGTTAAAAACGCTTCCCAAATGCCTGTCTAAAGCCTGTCAAACGCTATAGGGGCGTTTGGCAAGAGAAATAAAGTCAAGTGTGAACGAGCCCTAAGAGGAGTAAAGCGATGAAATAAGGCCAGGGGATATGAGTGTAGACAGACAGTTATGATCAAAGGATGTCTTTTGAAAAGGATAGATGGAAGCAAGATGAAGGGACAAAATCTAGCGCCGCAATTGCAAATTATGTAAGTGTTCCTGCTGTGGGGTCTCATGCGTCTCCTGGAGGGTCTCCCATGAAGGAAACAAAGCCATGGGAAGAGTACTTTATATCCTACTCAGAATTGTATTTCAGTGGGGATCAATGTCTTGCAGTTTATTTTGGAAATATATAAAAGACAGATTAAAACTGCTGAGTTTTAGTGTACTTTAATACAATAAATATAAGTTCCTAATTTAACTTGGTATCACCTCTTGCATTCCCCTATACAGCAGACTGGGGAGAGAAAGGGGCAGAAAAAGGAGCCATTCAGGTGTACTGAATGCAAATGTGCTGATAAGGAAGTTGCTTATAGGAAGAGTAAGCAGAGAGATGACCTCAACAGTCTTTGGCTGTTCTTTTTCCATCCAATCAGCAGGCAAGAGTGTGGAGAGCTTACTACTGTATCCCTTCTATAATCTATTAGTGTAACAGAGAAAGCAGTATCAACTAGACAGGTACTGCTGTACTGTACAATGCTGTGTATATGTCAAAACTGAAGTGACAGAAATCAGCAAAGTTGGCAGTACAGCTTGGTTATATGTATTTCATTTGTGTACTTAACAGCTTTCCTGGAGTACAGCTTAAAAAATTAAAAAAAAAAAAAAAAAAAAAAGCTTAGTTTCTGCTCGGTTGGCATTCCTCCTGCTCATCTATGTTTTTGGGTCTGTACCTGAAGTTGAGATTTAATTATTTAAAAATGGAAAATGAATATTGACTGATGCTGGTACAGTCTAGTATTCATGGGACCATTTGGGAGGATTATAAATTATATTGGCAGTTCATTTCTTTTCTGCGTTTCCATGTACCAAAGCATAATTTGATGCTTTTCCTGCTCATATGTATTGATCCATTTGAGTATTTATATTCCATCAGCAATTCTACACTATGTCCCTGAATAATCATGTATAATCAGACATTCTGTTGCTCTTGCAGATCTACAGCCTACAACTTTAACCCTAAGCCAGCCAACCCCAGCTTCCTCAGTCACTCACTGGTGGAACTACTCAATCAAGTCAGCCCCGTTTTCAAGAAGAACTTTGCCGCCCTTCAAAAGAAAAGGTAAAACATCCCCCTGCTGTAATGCTGGATGTCTGCTCTGTGCAGCCAAAATATTGATAATAGCACAAACAAAAATAAACAAGAAATGACTTAAAGTTTATGTAAACCTTATCAGTGACATTCTCTTATCTTTTTGATCTTTGTTGAAAGTGTTTTACTATATCTATTCTAAAAGTGCAGAAATTTGTTAATCCTGCCACAAGTCCAGTCAGCGCCTAACTTTCTATAGTGAGCTGACAATGCTTTACTGATTTGTCATACAATATTATCAGTCCTACCTGAGACCATTGTGGACTACAAAACACCTCCCCCACCTTGTTACAGAGATGAAGAGAGGAGTAGGTGTACTGCAGTCCATTGAGATCTCATCTGGGCTGATAACATTTTTTTGTGAGCGTTGTCACTCTGGGACCAGAAACATTACTGATAGGATCAGCAGTTAAAAAGAGAGGAATAAAAATGCCTACAAAAAGGAAAACAAATGCAGGTACTATATTCAATGACTGGTAAGCTATGATATTTTGGATAAATGAGAACCTTCACTTACAAATTTTCTTTAAAGACTTTTAACAGAGTATGAGGCAATATCATTTAATAACCTGATGCTAATGTGATCCGACTTAGAACTGGGTATACACCAATACCAGTATGGGGGCTGATACCGAGTATTTTCACTAGTACTCATAGAAATGCTCATGATACCTGAAACCAATACTTTGCAGTGCAATTTGCATCCATACAAAATGTATGAATGCAAATTGCACCTCAAAGAGTAGTATGCGATTTGAGCAGGAATGCGATTCCTGTCCAAATCACATGCAATTTCCCTACTGCTCCTATGTAAACTCAGGCTTGTCCTAACAGTAGTGGTGCCGGAAACCTCCCTGCACCAAACCCATGCTGTTAGAGAAGGAAAAGCTGGTGATTTATAAATCCCCATGGCTCTCTCTCTTCTCAGTGCAGGCATAACAGTACGGGCTAGACCGCTTTTGATTGGTGCTGACCAGTCAGAAGCAGTCTAGCCCATACTGTCATCCCTGCATGGAGAAGAGAGAAAGTCGCAGGTATTTTCAAATCCCCAGAACTGTAAAACAGCTTTCTTTCCTCTCCATACAGGGATGACAGTATGTGGCGATGCCAGTCATAGAAAGCTGGAAATAGAAACCCCAGCTTTTCCTTCTGTGACCGCATGGGTTTGGTGCAGGGAGGTTTCCCGCACCTCCCCTGTGTGAACTCAGACTAGGACAAGCCTTGCCTCACACAGGACAGTGGGGAAACCACATGTGATTTGGACAGAAATTGCATTCTTGTTCAAATCGCAACATGCTATTCTTTGCGGTGCAATTTGCATCCATTTTTCTACTGATGCAAATCGCACTGCAAAGTATTGGTACTCTGTATCAGCGAGTACTTAACCAAAAGTATCAGTACTCACCGATCAAAAAGAGTATTGGTGCATCTCTACTTGAATGATATACAGTATACTCCTTGTTAACTACATATACACTTATTATATGTAACTTTTATATGCAATTTATAAAAATGATTCGAAATGATAGGCCAAAATGTATTCTCTTACATGTCTTTGCTAAAACAAATCCCAATACGTGTAAATTAATTGGTTTCCGTGAAAGTTTTTATATTGTTTACAAATGGAGGTCTATATACTGGAACTTTTTTTTTTTTTTTACTAGTAATGGCGGTGGTCAGTGGCTTATAGCGGGTCTGCGGCGGGCATTCTGACACTGGGGGGAAACTGACTTGGTGTCACTGACATCCCCAGTGACACCAATACAGTGATCAGTTCTAATAAAAAGCACTGATACTGTACTAATGGCACTGGGCATGATGGGGTTAACGTGGGGGGATCAAAGGGTTAACTGTGTGCTGTTTCATAGTATGCAGTGTGTGTTCTTTCCACTGTAAGCACACTGCTTCGTATGGCTCTGCTATGCAGAGCCTTACAAAGCAGTGTGCAGGAGTTGACGGAAGAGATCTGTGTTGTTTGTTTGTCCTCCGTCTGAGATACTTGATCTCTGGCCAGGACCCAATGATTGACAGCCGAGGCTGCGAATCGCTGTGCGGGTAGTGCTTGTGCACGCCCCCTACCCAGAAATGCAAAATCGCGTGTGTGTGTGTGTGTGTGTATGTATGTATGTGTACATATATATATATATATATATATATATATATATATATATATATATATATATATATATATATATATATATATACACAGTGGGGATCGAAAGTTTGGGCACCCCAGCTAAAAAAATTTGTATTAATGTGCATAAAGAAGCCAAGGAAAGATAGAAAAATCTCCAAAAGGCATCAAATTACAGATTAGACATTCTTATAATATGTCAACAAAAGTTAGATTTTATTTCCATCGTTTACACTTTCAAAATAACAGAAAACAAAAAAATGCCGTCTGAAAAAGTTTGGGCACCCTGCAGAGTTAATATCTTGTACAGCCCCCTTTGGCAAGTATCACAGCTTGTAAACGCTTTTTGTAGCCAGCCAAGAGTCTTTCAGTCCTTGTTTGAGGTATCTTTGCCCATTCTTCCTTACAAAAGTCTTCCAGTTCTTTGAGATATCTGGGCTGTCTGTCACGCACTGCTCTTTTAAGGTCTATCCATAGATTTTCAATTATGTTGAGGTCAGGAGATTGTGAAGGCCATGGCAAAACCTTCAGTTTACGCCTCTTGATGTAATCAAGATTTTGAGGTGTGTTTAGGATCATTATCCATTTGTAGAAGCCATCCTCTCTTTAACTTCAGCTTTTTCACAGATGGCGTCCAGTTACCATCCAAAATTTGCTGAAATTTTATTGAATCCATTCAATCCATGATCCATGAATCCATCTACTCGTGAGATGTTCCCTGTGCCACTGGCTGCAACACAACCCCAAAGCATGATTGATCCAACCCCATGCTTAACAGTTGGACAGAGGTTCTTTTCATTAAATTCTGTGCCCCTTCTTCTCCAAACGTACCTTTGCTCATTCTGGCCAAAATGTTCAATTTTAACCTGATCGGTCCACAGAACTTGTTTCCAAAATGCATCAGGCTTGTCTATATGTTCATTTGTAAAGTTCAAACGATGATTTTTTTTGTGGTGAGGACGTAGAAGAGGGTTTCTTCTGATGATTCTTCCATGAAGACCATATTTGTACAAGTATCTCTTTATAGTGGAATAGTGTACCACAACTCCAGTGTCTGCCAGATCTTTCTGGAGGGATCGTGCAGTCAAACGTGGGTTTTGAATTGTCTTTCTCACAATCCTGTGAGCTGTTCTGTCTGATATTTTTCTTGGTCTTCCAGATCTTGCTTTAACTTCCACTGTTCCTGATGACTGCCATTTCTTAATTACATTAACAGAGGATATTGACATCTGAAATCGCTTTGCTATCTTCTTATAGCCTTCTCCAGCTTTGTGAGCGTCAACTATTTTCAGTTTCAGTTTTCTAGACAACTGCTTAGAAGAACCCATGGTGCTGATTGTTGGGGCAAGGTCAGATGAGTCTGGGCATTTGAAACCTTTGAGATTGACATCACCTGGTCTTCCCAGACGATGATTGAGAACAATCCATGACACTGACAGGTCTCAGCTTTGCAAAGGGGGCAGTGCATGCTATAAATTCTGCAGGGTGCCCAAACTTTTGCAGACGCCATTTTTTTGTTTTCTGGTATTTTGAAAGTGTAAATGGAAATAAAATCTAACTTTTGTTGACATATTATAAGAATGTCTAATCTGTAATTTGATGCCTTTTGGAGATTTTTCCATCTTTCCTTGGCTTCTTTATGCACATTAATACAACTTTTTAGCTGGAATGCCCAAACTTTCGATCCCCACTGTATATGTATGTATATGGGTGTGTGTATAGATATATATAGATGTGATTTTTGCACACCCCTGCGGACCTATTTCTGCTATAGGGTGGAGGAGAAGTAGTTAAAGTAATACTAAAGCCTCGTAAGCACGATCAGAAAATCATATGAAAATTACTGTTAATCTGATTGTTTTTAGACAGCTTTTGACAGCCGATCACGACAGTTCATCCGAAATTAGCCAAAGGGACAAAGGTGTGCAATTTTTTCATTTTAATCAGTACAGCTCCTGTCCAAAAATACAATACATTACATCACTTACAAAAATTCTTGATTGACAGCATAGAATTTAGGAAGTTGAGTAACCTCTTCATTTTCGAAATGAGACTAGCATGCAAAAAAAAAAGCGGATGGTCATTCATCCAAAATTCTCATCATGTGTATGGGGCTTAAAGGCTTGAAGTGTGGCTCAGCCCTGCCCCCCGATTCCTCTCACTGGCTGTGATTGACAACAGCGGGAGTCAGTGACTCCCGCTGCTGTGTCTCAGCCAATGGGGAAGGAGAGACCCAGGAGAGCTGCTGCTCCCGTGCACAGTACTGGATTGAGATGCGAATGATAAGTATTAGGGGGCTGTGAGGGGGGCAACACATTCTATGCATGAAGGTAAAAAAATCTTCAACCTTTACAACCACTTTTAATAGCACAAAATTCTTTCCCAAGGAAGATAAGTGGATTTTAGGAAAGGATCTGACCATTTAGATCATATTTCTTGCGGTCTTTGAGACATAGAAGAAACTGGTAGATAGCCAGTATCCTTTAGAAGTTGGGTGCTAGGAAACTGAAGAGAACCTAGTTAATAGAAACTCCTAAAGTTCCTCAGATCTTCAGAGTACTGCCTATAAACTGTGTTATATCTGTGTGCCAGCATGAGTATTTGAGCCTTTTTTTTTTTTTTTTTTTTTTTTTTTTTGCAGTCTGACAGTTCTGATGTTTATGTAAAAGCTGGTCTGCCAGTTCAAACCACAAAACATCCTTTCCGTTCCTGTACATGTGCTTTTTTAAAATCTTTTTAATGCATTCCAGTTTGTTTTTGTATTCATTTTCGGATGCGTTCCAGATGCTTTTCATCTTTTTTTTGGGTCATTTCAATTGCAAAATCTTTTATTTTCCATTCAATAAATTTTTATTGAAAAATTTTTGATTTTAGAAAATACAAACGCAACTGCTATGATGCGTACAAGCAAAGATATAACAATAAGAGGTACCAGATCAAAAGCAGTCATGCATAGAAAATACCTATAATTGGTGACAATGTAAATGACATGTAAAAAAAAAGCAGATTGTGTCGATAAATCGGCAAAAGGAACGTATGAGGGGCTATACACCCATTGCCTAATATCCAACAATAGTGAGAAAAGTAGTAGCATTTGGAATGCACAAAGTATATAGTTGAATCAAGAAATACATGGAACACATCATAACATATCCCTGCGGGGGGGGGGGGGGGGGGGGGAGCCAGTAGGGTGAGAGAAGATCGGGGAAAAAGACCAGAAAGGATCAAAAGGAGAATGCCAAGAGCGCTTGAACCTGGGCTACGGGGCCACCAAAGTTATAGCAAAGTAAAACTGCCTATTGGTATAGCAGGATGGGTGTGTTGAATCCATGAAGTCCAGGTTTTAAGGAATCTCTCGTGGGTATCTGAAAGATTGCTAGAGAGTTTTTCATTAACCAGGAAGAAATGTAGGTGGCGATGGACTTCCTAAAGGATATGAACTGTTGTTTCCAAACTTTCGCTTTGGTTTGTTTAGAAGCCAATAGTACGTATGTAGCCAGCTTGAATTGGTGTTTAGTAAGGGGGTTTGACCAGAACCAAGAGAGCATAGGGCATGTCCACCATATGTGTAGGATGTCTCCTGGGGGTAGCGCAGCCTCGGAAACATTTATCAGGGGCAGATGGATGAAGGTGCGCTAGACGGGACCAAGTACCACCTTGTAACAGTTTTAAAGGCCATTGTAAGAATATTTATAGAGAATGAGGTCATGGTTGTCCATATCTTTGGTGCTTTTAGGGTCCTTTTCCCACCTGGAAACTTAAGTGTGATTGTTGTGACTTTGAAGATTAGTCAGCTGTGAGTAAGGAATAATAATAAGTTTGGGAGGAGAAGGGCGTCGGATGAAAAATAACAATCTTTAATTTCATCAAGACAATAAGTTTCCTTTTTTTTTTTTTTTTTTTTTTTCCTAGTACTTGAGTCTGGTGCTTTTTTATGCTTTATTGCTTTCCAAAGTACAGTTCTGTGCAGAAAAAATACATGTGTTTTCTTTTTTTTTTTTGTCTTCTGTAACTAAAAAGCACTAGAATGCACTGCGCTGGTTTTAACCATGCCTTTGGAACCCATAGAACCTACTTTCCATGCTTTTTTGAAGCAGAAACTGCTTTGCATGTGGTGTGAACTAGTCCTAAGAGTAATTTTGGTTTCGTATAGAAACAATCGTTTCTGTTTTGATCACAAAAGTAATAGTAGACAGCACACATTTTCCCACACTTACAGTATTGAGCAGTATTGCAAGCATGCAAGTCCTTGCTTGTATGCTTTACATTCCAGGCCTGATTTTTAACTGCTAGTTCTGCACGCCTGACTTTTCTGTTGGGCAACAAGTGTAAGGTGTTCTTTTTTTTTTTTTGAGTATTTTAAATAAAATCCCCTTTTTTTTCTGTAGATCAATCTTTGTAATAATTTACACTATACCCAACGATTACAGCAATGGAATTGTATTTCAGATATATAAAAACAATTATATATTGTGTAATTATAGTGCTTTGTTCTCTTAAGTACAGGCACAAACATTACCTGAGGAACAATTAGCTCTGTATTTCTGTGTAAATTAACTTGTTTTTTTTTTTTGTTTGTTTTTTAATTTCTATGATTTGTGGAAGAAGTGATCTGGGGCTTTGTGTAGACTGTCTGCATAAATTACTTTGTGCTGCACCTGTTCACAGCTTAATCATGCTATGTGTTCAGCCTGACCCCTTTATCAATTAGTATGGCATTCTTCTGCAAGGAGCATGTACTCGTTATAGTTCTTTGTTAGGGAATTCTGTGGTCTGCTCTGTGGGAAACTAAATGGGCAATCCTTGTATGTAAAACCCAGAGGATTTTCTAATTAAATTTATAAACTGGAAATCCACTGGAACACCACTCTCCCTCAAAATGAGCTAAATCAGTTCTTCTTTGTATTAGTATGTTGCGTTGTCAGTGAGATGTGTGTAAGCTTGAGACTTTAAGCTATGATTTATCCTGTCACTGATGTCAGAAAATGTAGCATTAATGAAATCAGTTATTGATACCTAGTTATGCCATACCTCACAAAGACCCAACTCTGGACAATGAGAAGTGCATAATACATAGATACCATAAACGTTTAGCACAGGGTTCTTTCTGTACATATAGGGTGAATTGGGGGGGGGGGGGGGGTAATTGCATTTAGAAGTAGCTGCTCATATCAGTGAATTCTTGAATGCTATTTTTATTAGGTAAAAATATGGCAGCTGCAATATATTCACTTGTCTCTAATGTTGCAGACTCTGAGGGGGGGGGGGGGGGAGGGGATATTTTGTGTTATGTTTTTAGATAGTTTTAGTGTAACAATCTTTTAGTGTGTAATTTTGTCTCCTCCTACCATACAGAGTTCAGAGACACCCCTTTGAGCGGATTGCTACCCCATTCCAAGTATACAGCTGGACTGCTCCCCAAGTGGAACATGCCATGGACTGCGTGAGAGCAGAAGATGCCTATACATCCCGCCTGGGGTACGAGGAACACATCCCTGGACAAGTGAGATTTTCTTTGAACGTTTTATGCTTGAGCCTGAGTTCACATATATGCGGTGCGATATATCGCTTGTGATTTGCACAGGAACTGCACCGCATTCCTGTGAAAATCACGTGATTTGTGTGCGGTGTGAATGGAGCCATACATTTTGTATGGCTCTAATCACCCCGCACCAGAAACATGCAGGATTCTTTTTTTGGTCCGTTCTAGAATCGGATCACATAGGTATTCACACCTATGCGATCCAATTCTGCATATCGCACTGCGTTTTGTGGACCCGATTTCGGGGGGGGGGGGGGTTTTGTTAACTTAACATTCACACCCACAGCGGTTCGCATGAACGGGGTGCGATTCTGATGCGGTGTGGAGTTCGCACAGAAAACAATGCGAATTCCGGACCACATCCATGTGAACTAGGGCTTAGCCACAGTATCATACACTTGTCCTATTTATACATAACTTTCATTGTTTCAGACCAGAGATTGGAATGAAGAACTGCAGACAACAAGAGAATTGCCTCGTAAGAATTTACCAGAAAGACTTTTGCGAGAGAGAGCTATATTCAAGGTAATATCTACTGTATGTTTGAGGTGGTACTACTTCATTCACTTAGCCTCTTGAAAAAGTACTAGGTTGATACTATTTGTACAATGACTACATAACATTTTTGAACTACAATGTATTATGTAAGAAAAAAGTTTACACAGTTCCTTACGGCTATGTCAGAATGTGTGTGGCTGCTTTCAGTTTGAACCAAAGACAAAAAGCTGAAGCCCCTGTAATGATATGCAAGCCACTATGCATTGCTAGTTTAAGAAAATGATAATGAGTTTAAAATATACTATGGGTAAAATAAGTATTTAGCACTTCACCACATGTCAGTAACAACCCATGCAATCCATACATACATACAAAGAAACTAAAACAAATAAGTTCAGAAATTAAATTATGTGTAATAAAATGGATTGACACAGGGAAAAAGTATTGAACACATGAAGAAACAGAGGTGCATAAAGGTATAGAAAGCCAATACACCAGCTGAAATCTATCAGTAATTTGAAAAAATCCTGCCCCTTGTCAGTGCAAATTAATATCAGCTGGTTCCCTTTCAATTGATGGCCTTATAAAAAAAGTGTCTCATTACCAAGGTGTCACACAAGAAACATGTCATGATGAGTAAAAGCAAAGTGCTCTCTCAAGACCTTCACAACCTTATTGTTGCAAAACATATTGATGGCATTGGATGTCTAAACTTCTGAATGTTCCAATGAGTATTGTTGGGGCCAGAATCATTTCACCATAAACTGGCCACAATCAGGTGCTCCTCACAAGAGTTCTGACAAAGGAGTGAAAAGAATTATCAGAAGAGTTGGCCAAGTGCCATGACCGCTTGTGGAGTGCTTCCGAAAGATATGGAATTAACGGGTACAATTGTTTCAAAGAAAAACAATAAGTAATGCACTCAACCGCCATAGCCTGTATGCACGCTCACCATGCAAGACTCCATTGCTGAAGAAAAAGCATTTTGAAGTTTGCTGCACAACATTTAGACAAGCCTGTGAAATACTGGGAGAATATACTCTGCTCAGATGAGACCAAAATTGAACTCCATAATACCCACCATGTTTGGAGGTCAAATGTCAGTGCACATCCCCCTAAAAACACCATACCAACAGTGAAGTTTGGAGGTGAGAACATCATGGTGTGTTTTTCACCATACGGTACTGACAAAATTCATGTCATTGAAGGAAGGATGAATGGGAAAAATGTACCAAGACATTCTTGATAAAAAAATGCTGCCATCTACCAGGATGATGAAAATGAAACTATGGTGGACATTTCAGCAATGATCCCAAACATAAAGCCAAGGAAACTCTCAATTGGTTTCCAAGAAAGAGAAAATAAAGCTGCTAGTACGGCCCAGCCAATCACCTGACTTGAATCCAGTAGAAAATCTATGGAAAGAACTAAAGAGCAGAGTTCCAAGAAGAGGCCCATATAGAACCTTCAAGATTTGAAGACTGTGTGGAAGAATGGGCCAAAATGACACCTGAGCAATGCATGCAGCTAGTTTCTCAATACAGGAGGCATCTTGAAGCTGTCATTACCAGCAAAGGATTTTGTACGAATCATTAAGTAAATTTCAGCTAGCATGTTCAATACCTTTTCCCTGTGTCATTCCATTTTATTACACATAACTTAATTTCTGAACTTATTTGTTTTGGTTTCTTTGTATGTATGGATTGCATGGGTTGTTACCAACATGATGAAAATTTCATGTCAATAGCACCTTTAGAAATATACTCTCACTGGCCACTTTATTAGGTACACCTGTTCAATTGCTTGGTAATACAAATAGCTAGTTAGTCAATCACATGGCAGAAACTCAATGCATTTAGTCATCTAGGCATGGTGAAGATGACTTGCTGAAGTTCAAACCAAGCATCAGAATAGAGAAGAAAGGGGATTTAAGTGACTTTGAACATGCCATGGTTGTTGGCGCCAGAAGGGGCTGTTCTGAGTATTTAAAAAACTGCCGATCTACTGGGATTTACACGCACAACCATCTCTAGGGTTTACAGAGAATGGTCCGAAAAAGAGCTGCAGTTGTGTGGACGAAAATGCCTTGTTGAGGTCACAGAGGAATGGGCAGACTGGTTGCTGTAACATTCAGATGGTAGGGTCAGAATTTGGCATAAATGGCATGAAAGCATGGATCCATCCTGCCTTGTATCAGCCGTTCAGGATGGTGGTGTAATGGTGTGAGGGATATTTTCTTGGCACTAACAAGGTGTACCTAGTAAAGTGGCAGGTAAATCTATTTACTGAGAAAAAGAGTGAGGTATTCAATACTTTGTTTTTTGGGGGGGTTTTTTAACTAATGCTGTAGATTTGTTTTCCTTCTATATGTACACAATCATTGTCTAACCAATATAAACTTAGTGATACTAAAGGCTTACATTTTTTTCAACCACTTGAATACCGGGCACCTTTATCCTCTTCCTGCCTGGCCCAATTTTCAGTTTTCAGTGCTGTCACACTTTAAATGAAAATTGCGTGGTCATGCAACTCTGTACCAATATGAAATTTATATCATTCTTTTTATTTTTTTTAGACAAATAGTTTTCTTTTAGTGGTATTTAATAACCAATGGGTTTTTCATATTTTGTTAAACAAATGAAAATCGAAAAAAAAAAAAACATTTCCTAGTTTCTGTTTTAAATTTTTGCAAATAAGTAATTTTTTCTTCTTCACTGATGTGCTCTGATAGGTGGCACTGATGGGACTACACTGATTCATTGTAAATGTGTCCTGGCAGAATTTCCAGTTATCGGCTGTCCTTTCCTCACACAGTGAGAGCGCGTGAGGAAAGGAAATACCAATAACCAGCAAGTTTGTTTACTATGTGATTAGCTGTGTCCAATCACAGCTGATCACATGTAAAGGGACACTGTGATTGGCTTTTTACCTTGATCTGTGACAATCGCAGAGCGTTCCTGAGGGTGGACAGGGGGTCAGGGTTCTATAGACATCCTCCCAGAGCTAGACGACTGCGCTGTAGCTTTCTCTCAGCTATGGGCAGTCGAAAGTGGTTAAATAACAACCATAGTTTACTTACCTGCTCTGTGCAAGGGTTCTGCACAGAGCAGCCCCGATCCTCCTCAGTTGCCCCACCGATGCTCTGGGCACCTCCCCACTGCCAAGTGCCCTCATAGCAAGCTGTTTGCAATGGGGGGCACTTGTGCGTGCTCGCTCCCGAGTCCTGCTCTGTATTTTCCTAAGACAAACAAAACTGGACTTGCTCCTCCCCCCACTCTCTCCTCACTGGCTGTAAGCCAATGGCTCCCACTGCTCTTTCTGAGCCAGTTAAGGAGACAGAGACCTGGGATAGCAGCCACTCTCATTCACATTGCTATATCTGGCTCGGGTAAGTATTGGGGTGGGGGGGGGGCTGTGGAGGTAGCTGCATACTGAAGATTTTTTATCTTCTTGCATAGAATGCATGAACGTAAAAAACCTTCACACTTTACAATCTCTTTAAAACATGATAGTATCTCCAAAGCTCTATGAATTGACTACAAATACAAAACTTTATTACTGACAGAATGTCTGTTATTAAAACCTCAGGTAGAATCATCTGACAAGATGTCCTTTTCAAGCATCTTTACTGGCTTTTTCCAACAGCCAGTAAGGAGAAAGTAAAAAAATTTAACTAGAACTAAAGGCACTATACTTGCTTCCTCTTTAACAGTCCAGGTATCTCATCAGCATCCTCTTCCCTGGTTGTCAGTCTTTGGACATGTCTATTGGCCAGCAAGATTCCAGCACACAGAGACCATTCCAGCAATATAAACTAAGCTGTACATGCACAGCTCAGTTTACATGCCGCAGAAGACCACGGCAGGTAATTTACCACAGAAGAGATGTTGGGGGTTGATATTCTAAAACTGGAGAGTGCAAAATCTGGTGTAGCTGTGCATAGAAAACAATCCTTTCTCTTTTTCTTTTTTTTTTTTTTTGTGCCAAAAGCGTAACATGGAAGTAAAGGCAAAACCTAACTGTAAACCTACTCTTGGCCACCTTCTAAGCCTAATCTATCTAGCCCTGTAAAGAAATTGTTATACTTGCCTGTTCTGCAGTTGCTCCTTTCCGGTCTTCAGCGGCGCCTTCTGTGTGCAGGAGACTGCCAACAACAGCTGGGAAGTGAAGGCACCCATAGACTTACTATGGAGCTTCCATTGTCGGCTGCCTCTCCTACACACACGCCTACACACTGAAGCCGCCTCCTACACACTGACAGCTCAACCTGGGACTGGACCGGATTGGCTGCCAAACAGGTAATTATAGTGATTTTTTTTTTTCTTTAGTGGGCTAGATAGATTAGGCTTAGAATGTGACTTAGAGTAGGTTTAGAGTTAGTTTTTGCCTTTACTTCCACTTTAATTGAACAAGCTGAAGTGAGAAGCTTATTGGCACCATGCACAGCTGTACCTGATCTTCCACTCCCCAGTTTTAGTAAATCAACGTGTATGTCTCTCCTCTGATAATAGCCGCCTGCTCAGTTCTTTGGAAAATACTTCAGTTCCGCTTCAAAAATAAGTTCCACCTTCTGGATGGATGACATTTTCTCTCTGCCATAATATCTTCACCATAATAAAGAAGATACATAAAAAAACCATTATCTATTTGTTGAAGGGATGGGAATGGACTCACGGATATGTGGTACTGCAATGCTTCCCTATTACAAGTGTGTAGAAGTAGAAGTAGTAGTAGATCATTGTTTGTAATTTTTGTGGCTCTTTTTGTTTTTTACCAAAGTTTTTGCTATCGCCTTTCTCTGGACCAAATCTGTTTCTTTGACACAGATTCTGGGGTGTTCTCTAAATGGATAAGAGGTATTATGTGGCATGTCATAAAATCCAGCTAAAACTGCATTGTTAACAAACATATTTGATTTTGCTCGTAACTTATTTTGTACCTATGTGTTATCAGGTCCACAGTGATTTTACAGCAGCAGCTACAAGAGGTGCCATGGCAGTTATTGATGGTAATGTCATGGCCATCAACCCCAGTGAAGAGACAAAGATGCAGATGTTCATCTGGAATAACATTTTTTTCAGTTTGGGTTTTGATGTCCGGGATCACTACAAAGATTTTGGTGGAGACAGTGCTGCTTATGTATCTCCTACAAATGATCTTAATGGGGTGCGGACATACAATGCAGTAGATGTGGAAGGATTGTACACATTGGGAACAGTGGTGGTAGACTATAGAGGTTACAGGGTTACTGCACAATCCATTATTCCAGGGATATTGGAGCGGGAGCAAGAGAGCAGAGTGTCATTTACGGATCCATTGACTTTGGCAAAACTGTTGTATCTCACCCAAAGTACCTGGAACTGCTGGAGAAAACAAGCCGGCCACTCAAGATTTTTAAAACACAGAGTCCTAAATGACAAAGAGGAGGAAGTGGAGCTGTGCTCCTCTGTAGAGTGTAAAGGTATCATTGGTAATGATGGACGGCATTACATTTTGGATCTTCTAAGGACCTTCCCCCCAGACCTTAATTTCTTGCCTGTGGAAGGTGAGGATATGCCAGAAGAATGTAAGAAAATGGGCTTCCCCAAAGAACACAGGCACAAGCTTTGCTGCCTACGGCAGGAGTTGGTGGACGCTTTTGTGGAACACAGGTAAAAAAAATGTCTCCTCTCTTAAAAAAAAAAAAAAAAAAAAAAAAAAACTTCATAAAGTTTGATTGTGGTTATACCATATATAAGACAATAATGTATAATTTGTGTGCAGTATTGTGACCGTCTCATCTGTATGAAGGAAGAATCATACTCAACTTAGGGAGACTTGCATTTCCAAGGGATCCTCTTGGAAAATATTGTTTGTCCTGCTGTTGCTCTAAAGCAGTGATGGCGAACCTTTTTGAGCCCGAGTGCCCAAACTGCAACCCAAAACCAACTTATTTCTTTCAAAGTGCCAACACTGCAATGAAACCTGAATATCGAGCTTTTGGTTTAGAAAAAAACAACTCGTACAGTAGTGCAAACTAATTAACAGTACAGGGATGACCAGAGACTGCAGACACAGTACAGGGATGACCAGAGACTGCAGACACAGTACAGGGATGACCAGAGACTGCAGACACAGTACAGGGATGACCAGAGACTGCGGACACAGTACAGGGATGACCAGAGACTGCGGACACGGTACAGGGATGACCAGAGACTGCGGACACGGTACAGGAGATGACCAGAGACTGCGGGACACGGTACAGGAGATGACCAGAGACTGCGGACACGGTACATGACCAGAGACTGACCAGAGACTGCGGACACGGTACAGGGATGACAAGAGACTGCAGACACAGGGATGACCAGAGACTGCGGACACAGTACAGGAGAGACCAGAGACTGCGGACACAGGGAGATTACAGCACAGGATGACCAGGATGCGGACAGTACAGGAGATGACCAGAGACTGCAGACACAGTACAGGGGATGACCAGAGACTGCGGACACAGTACAGGGATGACCAGAGACTGCGGACACAGTACAGGAGATGACCAGAGGCGGACACAGATGACCAGAGACTGCGGACACAGTACAGGGATGACCAGAGACTGCGGACACAGTACAGGGAGGATGACCAGAGACTGCGGACACAGTACAGGAGATGACCAGAGACTGCGGACACAGTACAGGAGATGACCAGAGACTGCGGACACAGTACAGGAGATGACCAGAGACTGCGGACACAGTACAGGAGATGACCAGGACCAGAGACTGCGGACTGCGGACACAGTACAGGAGATGACCAGAGACTGCGGACACAGTACAGGAGATGACCAGAGACTGCGGACACAGTACAGGAGATGACCAGAGACTGCGGACACAGTACAGGAGATGACCAGAGACTGCGGACACAGTACAGGAGATGACCAGAGACTGCGGACACACTGCACCACAGTACAGGAGATGACCAGAGACTGCGGACACAGTACAGGAGATGACCAGAGACTGCGGACACAGTACAGGAGATGACCAGAGACTGCGGACACAGTACAGGAGATGACCAGAGACTGCGGACACAGTACAGGAGATGACCAGAGACTGCGGACACAGTACAGGAGATGACCAGAGACTGCGGACACAGTACAGGAGATGACCAGAGACTGCGGACACAGTACAGGAGATGACCAGAGACTGCGGACACAGTACAGGAGATGACCAGAGACTGCGGACACAGTACAGAGGAGATGACAGAGAGACTGCGGACACAGTACAGGGGACCAGAGACTGCGGACCAGAGATGCTGAGAGACTGCGGACACAGTACAGGGGATGACCAGAGACTGCGGACACAGTACAGGGGATGACCAGAGACTGCGGACACAGTACAGGGGATGACCAGAGATGACCTGACTGCGGACACAGTACAGGGGATGACCAGAGACTGCGGACACAGTACAGGGGATGACCAGAGACTGCGGACACAGTACAGGGGATGACCAGAGACTGCGGACACAGTACAGGGGATGACCAGAGACTGCGGAAAGCACAGGGATGACCAGAGACTGCGGACAGTACAGATGACTGCTGACCTTTGGGGAGGGAGGGGGAGCGGGTACCTGAATTTGACAGGTACCCGCTCTTACTTCCGCAGAGTTTTTTTTTTTTATCTTACCTGTTCCTTTATCCAGCCGCGCGCTGTCTTCCCGGCTTCTGTAGTGTGGGCGCTCGTCGGACAGCCGGATGCCCAGTGCGCATGCGCGAGAAGCGCTGCGCTTTGTGATTGGTCCGGCGGCTTCTGGGATCTGTCATGTGTCCCAGGTACCCGCCTTACCATTCACAAAGAGCACTGCTTCTTGCGCATGCGCACTTGGGACCTGGCTGTCACGCACACTACAGAAGCCGGGAAGACAGCGCGCCGCTGGATAGAGGGACAGGTACGGTCCCACTGCAGAGCTGAGCGGCCGGCCCGGTATTCTGACGCGGCGGCGGTGGAAATACCGGACCGGCCGCTCTATATTCGCTCCATAAGACGCACTGACATTTTCCCCCCTTTTTAAAAAAGGGTATTCTCCTGGCGTGCCCACAGATAAGGCTCGGCGTGCCGGCTGTGGCACGCGTGCCACGGGTTCGCCATCACTGCTCTAAAGCTATAAAGTTTTGAGCTTGACATACAGTTTAAACCTTGCTTCATCTCTAAATTGTACAGGACACAGGAATTGATTGATTCTTATACCATGGGTTATATGCAGGGCCGGTGCTAGACTATTTTGCACCCTAGGCAAGACCAGCTACTTGTGCCCACCAAAAAAAAAAAGAATGTTTAAAAAACAAAATATTAAATCAACAAAACCTGAGACTGTTAAATTCCTTTAATTTTCAAAAATAAGTGCCATAAGCTGCCACCAGCACCAATATTAAAGACAAAATCAGTGTCACTGATGGACTGTATCTGTGGCTTGCAGTGGCAGACTGACATTTGCAGTGAGCGGAGGATGGTGTATCCACACTCTGTGACAGATCCCAGGCTGGAATTCCTCAAGCAATTGGGGGAGATAAAACGCTGTGACAGCAGGCAGCTCAACACACACACACACACACAGACACACAGACACACACACAGAACACCTGAACTAAGCGAACTGACACAACACACCAACGCTGACACAGTTCAGCAGGCACTAGAAGAGCAGACTGGGATGATGTCATCATTCACTAAGACATGGCACATCAGAGTCAGACATTATCTTCCTCCGCAGGCTCAACTTTGCCTCCGCTGATAAATGGGAAGAGAAAAGCTTGAACTCCACAGTGATCAGCAGCTGCCAGCCGGCTTACAGTAAGGGACTGAGTCTTCCTGTGTCCTTTCTTCCTCCCCTCTGCAGCCCCTCCCTTCAGTTGGAGGATCATTCATTATGTGGCGGCGTCCCACAAAGAGTGCCAGCCTGTGCTGCGCCCAGGTGCTCCAAGGTGGCAGTGAGCCCTAGACAGTTGCCTAGTTTGCCTAGTGGAAGCATGGTCACTGGTTTTAAGCTGTTCACTTCAGGTGAATTGGACATTGGCAGAAGCGTTGCTGTGACCACCCCCAGAGCATCCATTTAACCCCAGCCATTTTGTGAGGCTCCAGTTTTTAGCTTGTGCTCTTTACGTGATGGAGCACTTCTGTTGGAGATGATATTTGGTATATTTTTGCCAGTTTTACCTATTTTTAGAATTGACACTTCAATCAAGATCTGACTGCTTATTGCCATATGGCTCTGAGTAATTTTCTAACAAGATCAGTATATAGCCAAGTACTAATATATACAGTAAGTAAGATATACAGTTTTCAAATTGGTTATCCTCAATAAGTCCTTAGGAAAATTACTTGGACCCACAACAGTGGGGCCTGCCTGTGTTTTCTTTTGGAACTGGTTTCTGCGTTTTTGGCTCTAATTTTGGTATATGGCACAACAAAGTGAATTAAAGTGACGGGTGCTATACAAGTCTACAGTCCTTGTCCATTCTTTTGGCATCTGAAGACTCCTTCATGGGGTATGCCCATTGGTACGGGCGAAGCCTGTACCCTGAATGGGACCATCGGCATGGACAAGGTAAGATAGGATTTCCTTTTACCTTTATATATTCGTACCTGGCTACACATATCTTGTTGGAAAATTACTTGGACTTGTAGTACACCCTTCATTATATCAATTTATCCTACAATACACACTGGAGTGCTAAGCACACAAGTGGTTTTGAAGGCACACGTTATGGCGCAATCTGTACTTCAAGTTGGGTTTTTTTTTCCCCCTATATTGTCTCGCCTATTCAGCCTTAGAGGTAACATTAATATTAGGAATACCAAATTAATTTTGATGGTCTTTCCTTCCAACTCACTACCAGATGTTCTAGTGCCTGTACAACTCTTAACTGTGCATTTCTGGCTGCCATCTTTCATCGCCAACACAAGCTGATTGCTTGCTGTCTCATCTGTTGCTTATTTTCTCAGAGACACAACCACAGGACCTTGATTAGTGCCTGGGTTATTGTAATTCCTTTATACTGACACTTTGAACTCCATCAATTCAAAGTATTTCAGCAAGTTCCCTGAAGGTAAAGATCTTCACTTAGTAATGGCAGACTACAGGCTCTTGGAAGCAGAAGCAGGTGGGAAAAATAATGCGCATTTAGCTGCAGGTTGACAGTAGTTACCTTGTTTCGAAGCAAGGTTGTCCACCGATATCGCTCCATCCCCCTGATTCAGGCTCTCTCCCGGATGTGCAACATACAGCCTTTCTGATTTAAAGCATGGTTATCTTTCATCTGCTCCGGAGGTCACTGCCACTTCTAGAAACTGTGATTGCAAACAGCCATAAACACCCTCCAGCCACTCCTCCCCCTAACTATATCCATGGGTTACATCCCGAATTGAAAAGCGTGCTTAGATATGCAGAATGCAAAGGGGATGCTGACATTTTAGTGGAGGCTGCTGAAGATTTTTCACCACCACCATTCTGTGATAATTCTTCACCCTCTCGCCACATGTTGGTTTCGGTGGACTCCTTGATTGAGGCAGTGCATACTAGTCTTTAGCTAGATACACCTAGTTCTACTCAGCCTACTCATATGTCTATAGTCACAAAATAGCAGTTCCTACAAAGCCTCTCGTTATTCTTAATTAAGCCAGTTGGG